GTTCCCCATTTATTATCTCACTCACATACACCAATCTTTGTTCGCTGTTGTTCTTCTTTTTATCATATTCAATATACATCCTGTCACTACAAACTTATTGTTATTGTGTGGTGCATATCTATTTGATACCAACGTTTGTGTGTTCAAATAAATAAATAAATAAATAACAGTCAGTCAGTCAATCATAATCAGTGTACAGCATGACGTAAATGTGAGTTAGCACAAGTTACCATAGAACACCAACACAGAGATGAATTTAACAAAATAAATGCCAAAATACTCGAAATAATGTAGCTATTAATCATATGTATAAAAATGATGCATTGAAGAAACTATTCTAAACAACAGAATGTGAAGGTATGGATGGAGGGAAACTAAAACTCCAGAGTTGGAGTAAGATGATAAGGAAATTTATCTGTGGCAGTGTGATCGGTTTAGTTATCTCAATGAAAATACTGTTCGAAGTCATTCTGGTAGCCTTCACCTATCAACACGGTTCAGATCAACAGTAAATGAATTCAGAAACTGATTTAACGTTTCAGTTAAGCCAACCCCAACATTCTTTAAAACCTACTCCTAGACCCATGTCAACACCGCCCGTCCAGGTAGGTATTTATAACACGAATTTAATAAGCTTGCTAATGGAGATTTCCATACTGTTTTAGTCACACTGTGGTGTGTTCTACTGATGTTGATAGATAAAAGAAGCATGTATCATCAATCGAAAATGAAATACCTGGTAGCAGAAGGTTTAGAAGATAGAACAGAGAACGAGAACAGTGAATGAGTGCTGTGGAAATGAAAGAACAGTGAAGTTTGTGACAAATGGTTGACATTTTGCAAATTAAGTATTTACTGTAGGGTTCTCAATTTACTAAAATGCTCTGTAATTTTGTATTCAGATACATCTGATTGTCCCCAAACGTGTTCTTGTTTACTAAAACACGTTTAAAATATCCAGCTACATAAACAAAACGACATGGGTCATATTTGGACTTACCTTCCAGTGGTAACTGAAATTCAAATACTTTAATAAATAAGGTGTGATTTGACCATGATACAAATACAATCATTACAACACAGTCATCACATCAATAAACTTAGATCATGAAAAGAAATACATGATATATACTCAAGTTATTCAACTAGATAATGATAATCCGGTTTAATCAATAATATTACGGAAAAGTAAACTGCAGAAAAACAGTACCAAGAGAAAACGAATTAATTAGAAACGTTTCCAATGTGGGTTTAATTTTCAGCAAAAAGATTTTATTTCATACAGCAGGATTTACCCGCAGTTATCTGTTATAAACATATCAGTGTATGTAACATTGATGGATTTGAAAATGGCAGTCCCAATGAAGATGATGCTTTTGTGTATGCAGTACAGAAGGCGACTCAAATGAGTTGAAATAAGAGATGAAGTTGCTAAATATAACAGACCTACTTACAGAACATTGGAAACGTTGTAGCGAAAGTCGTTGAAAACATTCATTTAAGAAGGTGATTTAGAGATTTCACTTAAGCTGTACAATCGTATTTGTAATTAATTTGTACAGCTTAAATAAATGAAATCGTCGAAAAAAAAATTTTTTGTTGATATGCTTTTTTTTTAAATGAGTGCTTTTCACAACAATTTGTGGCCCTTGGTTTGACTGCGATTTGGATGAAAGTATGAGTATGCTATGAACATAATTCTGCCGTTTAACTAAGTATATTATCTAGGCTAACCCCGTTTGTATGACGGCGGTAATAAGAAGCCATATATGGATTACGTTGGATGAATTTATTTCAAACACTCGTTTATCCGGGGATGAGGAGGCGAGTGGGCCAACTCATCTTTGGCAAAGCGTATCTCAATATTTATAGCCGGACAGAACTAGGCCAAAGACATGCCATGAATAGGATAAGCGCTGTACACACACGCTCATATAAAAACAGTAAGCTTAATGAGCGAATACTTTAACAAGGTCAAAACGTGACTCAAGAAAAATGAATAAATTGGTCTGCCCAGAAGCTTGACATAGTACTAAACTGTTTTGCCACAACGTCCTTAATGTTTAGTAAATAGGTCTGTTATATTTAGCAATTCCAGCCATTTTTCCAACTCATTGAGTCGCCTTCTGTGCTGCATACACAAGAGTATCATCTTCATTGGGACTTCCATTTTTAAGACATTCGATGTTACATACACTGATATGTTCATAGCATATGTTCCTCGCTGAATCGCCTTCTTCAATGATCTCCATTTAATCTAGATTAATGTATGGATACTGCTGACGAGTGCCATACTGGGACGAAACAGCCATCCAGTGTTTACAGGTTATCAAGGGTGATCCAACAACGATTGATTCATGATCTCAATCAAAAATATACAATTACTTATAACTTTAAATTAGCATAAATTAGTGTTCAACATGGCCGCCTAACATTATCATCACTATTGATCCTTATCTTGTCAACAGATTTATGAGATTATGCAGAAACCGAGTTGATTTGCAAAAATATTAATTCTGTTTACTTGGAAAGTAGAAAACTACGTTTGATTTCAACTAAAGAACCTACGAAAATAAGAGAAGACAGCTTTTTATATATTAAAAGTGTTGCTATAACGACAGTTATATGAGAGACAAATGGAAAGATATGGTAGTAACTATCGTACATACAAGAATTCATTATATATATATATATATATATATATATATATATATATATATATATATAGAGAGAGAGAGAGAGAGAGAGAAAGAGAAAGTAGACTACAAAATAAGAGTAAGAAAAAGGTTAACTAAATAGTTAGTTAAAATCAATAAAGGGGATCAAGAACTACAAAACCTTGTATTATCAGTGTCCTCTTGATTGATTATTATTTGTAATAAGAAATTAATATGTGATGGATAGACTTAAAAAAGCATTCAAATTAGTACATCGCTTGTGCATATATACACATGGGTAAATGAATGCAATGTATTCTATGGGTTTGATGAGCGAGGTAGAAAGTAGTGTAAGAATTATTATTTTATTGTCAAAAAAAGACGGATTGTAGCAAGCGATCGTTTTCAGGTCGACAGTTTTGGTCTGCACAGATCTCAGTGCTGATGTTTACACTAAGATTCGCCAGTGTTATTCACTGAATTCAGATAGCCACTGATGTATTTAATGGGTAAGATGTTTACATCATTTAGTAGTAAGGGTTTGAATTATTCTGGTGTTAATATTTAGGACTGTATCTTGATCATACTAAGTCAATTCGTATACAATTCACAAATGCCAACGAAGACTGATCGAAATATATCATTGAATATTACCAAGATAGTTTAAACACTTGCTAATAATGATACAGAAGGTTTAACTGTTCACAAATAAGAATACATTATTTTAACTATAATTGAAATCAGTATAATCAGTACTGAACAGCTTACCTCCACGGACATATCTATCATTATTTTCAGTTTCTAAAAGAACTTCAATCATTTAATCAAAATTACACACATATAGTTGAGTCAGCAGAGAAAAGGACAGAGCATACAATAGTATAAACATAGGAATACTAGTGTTTTCTCTAACAAAGTGTCATTCGATTAAATAAAAATAACGAAACAAAATGCGAATTCCTTGAATTACACCTTAATGTGGATGAATTTTAGTGTCATTAGTTCCCATCTAACTAACAGATAGATTGTTTTATGCCTTAAAGTTATTTCCAAAAAGTACATTCACTTGGCTCTAAATGCGTAAGCTGAAGGTTTTTGATTATAAGTGTCTTTGAAGCATTGGTCATTTATCTAGCATAGAGTGCTAGGTGAAGGTGGGGAATCGATTGATGAGGTTATGAATCACCATCGACTGAGGTGGTTAGGGGATGAATTACATATGCTCAACCACCACTAACTTCCACGGTGGGCTTTAAGCCAGTGTAGAAGCAAATAAGACGAAAAATAGAGGCACCCAAATCAAGATGTACCATTAGTCCATAAATTTATAGACTCTTGTTTAGAACCGTGTAAGTGCAGATTACCTGTTTGTAGTTGACATGATGACAGAGACCAGTGGTTAAAGTTGCATGGCTCAGAATCGGTCTTAAGGGCACAGATGCATAAACTTCTGATCATGCTCTAGATCTTGAATTCTAGTATCCCTTTATGCATAACTTTCCACTGTCACTTCAAACCATATTCACGTTTTGTCTTTCTCAAAATCATTGCTCTTAGACTGTCTTTCGATTTGTTTGTTATTTACCTCGTCGTCCCAGCGAAGTATGCCAGTTTGGGCCGAAGCGTATTCCGTACTAGACTCTATATTGATCATGAATGACTAATTATTTGCTCATTCCATGTGAATTTTCTTTATAACAACATTACTGAATGATTGTCTGTCTGACAAACTGAATACTTTAGAAATAGTGATGTCTGCTAATAGCGTACCAAACTATAAGATGAAAATTAACGTGCAGAATTTTTGTTTAGCTTTTAAAATCCAGAAATGTAACAATGATCAGACAACAGCAATAGATCACACAAAATTCATCCAACAAAATCAGTATGTTGCTTGTTTAAGCTGTTTTTTTGTTTTTCACTGAGTGGACGAAAATGAATAGGTAAAAAGAAAACTACAATTTGATAATGATCAAGTATTTCACAAAACGACATCAGTTTCCTTTCACAATGAGCAATCACAGTAAAGTAATCGAATTCAACGTTTTAACTTGTGATTAAAACTAAAGTAATTGGTCAACGCTCTAAGAATATTTTAGTTTTCTATACAGACGAACACTATCCAGTGCATAAAATAGATGAGATGTAGCTAGCAGTGCAATCCGGGACGTGTGTTCAGTGGTACTAGGGACTTGTTAGCTGAATGTACCTGCATTCCAGCTGAATTATCCGATGTAGATAAAGCCGTGGTCAGTTAAAATAGTTTAAACTATTTGTGAACTTCAAAAATGTCAACACATGAAGTTCACATATTATCTTTCATCTTCATACATAAAAACTCACTTGCTTCAAGTCAAAACCAGTTAGATAATAAAAGCCAAAGATTAATTACATGGAGAATAAAGTAAATTATCTGATGAATTTGAGGAGCTGTCCGTCTGAAAGATTTTCAAAAAGTACGGAAATAGAAGCATAAAATCAAACCAGAAAATTAACAAAAAATGATTTAATCCTGTTTCCCTCATACAACACAGTACAGCATTCCAGATATATGTACCTGATCCAATATGTCATTCCAAGGTCAAGCATTAGGTTAGAGGTGAGGAACAAAGTACGCTATTGAATGAAGTGAGTCATAAACAAATAACAGATCTTAGCTGAAGCATTTAATAAACAGATATATATATATATATATATATATATATATATATACCACTGAGTTGTGAAGACGTATATTTCTCTTATTGATTACAACTTCCTAGTTATTCCTAGTTTTCTACCATTCACATACCTGGTTGGTCTCGCGTAGAGAGAGCATCGAGTCCCTGTATCTGAATCGGATGGTTGCAGAGGGCAATACGTTGATACCTTACTCATGATAGTTGCTGAAGTAGGCAACTCAATCGATATAAGTTGGTCGAAAAGTTAAATTCTTCAAATTTTAAGAGTGATAAAATTAAAAGGCAGCGGTGGTATGGGTGGTGAGATCAATTCTCTTATAGTGAAAGCCAGAGCGGCCTATGCCAATCTGGGCCATCTTTGGAGTCTTCGTGATGTTAGTATGGCTGTAAAGGGTCGGATCTACAACGCGTCGGTAAGAACAGTTTCGCTCTATGCTTGTGAAACCTGGCCTCTTCGAGTTGAGGATGTTAGACGACTCTGTGTTTGGTTATTATTGTCTCCGAAGGATTGCTGACATCCAGTGGCAACACCATGTTAGTAATGCAGAGGTTCGGCATCGTGTGTTCGGGGACAGAGTTGATAATTCAATTGCTGTCACTATCTTGAAACATCGAATTCGGTAGTTCGTACATGTCTTACGAATGCCTTCCCAGCGATTTCTACATCGTGCATCATTTGTCCATGCTGGGACCGGTTGGAAAAAGCAGAGGTAATAAGTATATGATAGGGTGTTGTGGTATGAAGGAAAGATGTACAGGACTAGCTTCTGTAGGTCCTTTGCGACTTCCTGGTTAACATCTTAGAGATGGTACAACATTTATTTACTTGAACACATAAATATTGGTACAAGAGGGCACCAAACATATATGCGCCACACGATGGTACAACAAAGTTGTGTCGATGGAAAGAAAGTGATTGCTTCTCGCAATTCCAAGTTGACAACCACTTGTTTACCGATAGAAGAAACGTCACATATACAAACGCTGATATGTCCATAAATATAACCTGAACAATCAGCACAATTAGTCATAACTATAGTCTGAAAGCACAAAGATTTTAAAGCTGTTATTTGGACAGTGACTGAACACACATTCGAATTATTTATCTATCACTTTAAGTATACAAACAAATTTCCTACCTAATTTATGGGAAGAATGTAAAGATTAAAATCACTACTAGTTATAATTCATGAAATTCTATGATAAAAACTGTTACATACTCTATTTTTCTTTGAAATTCGAATCCTGGATTCCTTCAATAATAAAGGAACATTATGTTTGTCAAAGTGTACTTCATTTTTCCCATCAAGTTCCGGATTCGAACTGGTTAAATTCAAAGTTTTCAGTTTGTTCAAGTTATAATTTGAGAATAAAATATCCTACGTAAAGCGAAGATGGAATAAATAATATATGAACAATAAAGGCGTATCATGGAACGATACAAAAAAACATTGAATTCCTACTACCACTAAAGTAATGAGAATAAAAGTAGGATGATGTTAGTTATTATATTTTATTAATAATAACATTATGCTGATGGAGTATTATTTACCAAAATGTAAATGATTGTTAATAATATAAAAGCCCGAATCCTTTAGTTGTGTAGACAACATCCCTGTGTGTTTTAATACTACATAAGCATTTAAAAACAAATTAAGTCGTTTGATTTGCCACTAATCTAAGCATTCTACTTTCGATTTAACTATCAAATGTGCAGTTAGTTTTTCTTGTTTAGCACATTTTAATCACTTTTACTCAAATTGTATATAATCAGAATGAAAACATGTTTGAAATAGGAAAGCATTTCAAAAAATATTCAGAACAACAACGTGCAGAAACACGAAGATTCATATAAAATTTATGTACGAAACTCCTTTTTGCTTCATCCACTAGTGCTGATTAGTTAAAAATAGATCAGCTAACGTATTCGGGTTCTGTTTTGCACGATTTTATCCTTAAAACACGTACACATTTTGTTTAATTACTTCTATTCTTATAAGAAAATGTATCCAGCTTTTAAGACACTCGGGCCGCAAACTTATACGAATCTGGCAATTTGATAGCTTTATGGGAGAGAAAATAAAGAATCTTTCTATTAAGATTGACAATATTTTAAAACAATACATCACTTCGTTATTTTGTAATATTGAATGGTAATAACATAACATTTCAAGGACGACCATGATTACATTATTATTAATAATAAAAAACTAACTTCCTATCAAGGCGATACTGACTAATTAATCTGGTGTTAGTCTAATCCTAAATGTTGATCAAATTCTACCGATCAAGATGTGATACGGTTACTCCAGTTGGTTCAAAATCGTATAGATCGTTTGGATGAGAAATGACAGGGAGAAAGTCCTGGACCTAAAGGAGATCAGTTGTGGTCCCGATAGCTGAATGGTAACATATCTTACTGTATCACTACTGAGAGAAGCATCTCCGAACGCGTGGATATAATCAGCATCCTCGAGAGTGTAATACGCCCTGATGGGAAGTTTCAATCAGCACGTAATTCAGGTCTCCAGTTATCTTAGAGAAACTAGTCAGGAAATTTAGTAATTTTGTGAGAGCTTTTGAATAACTTTTAATCAGGTATTGAATGATCTTGTAGACTATTTTTCGAGAATAATTCTCCATAGCTATTCAAGATCGAGACGCCCTGCTGAGCTGTTTAGGTTATTAGCTTGAATAACAATTTCCTCATTAGTCACAACCTATCATGAGTTACGCCAAGGTGACACATCACTAGTTGACCAATCAAAAAGATGATTCCAGAATGATGATTGAAAAATCTATAAACTAAGTGACGATGACATGAAAAAGCACAACAAACAATCGGCAATAAAATTATAAGACATGGACCTAACACTAGAGACTGAAAAAAACTAGAACTAAGATAAACGCATTACTCATGAGACAATAAAACATGATGAACTCCAAAATATAACAAAGCAATGGATATTCTGAATTATTTTAAATAATTACTTGATCATAAATATTAACTAAAAATAGGCTTACATCACAGGATGATAGGGTTAGAGAGTGGATTTGACGAGACTATCTGATGTCATTTGTGACTGACTCATTCATTTTTGGCATGGTTAATGTCACAGATATAATTAATGTTAACTAATAAATCTACCTTCACATTAAACAAGCCTCAACAAACCTTATGTATAAATAAACTTGTAATCGTTCAGATTATTCCGTTGTTGATATTATAGCTGAAATTCGATCAGTTATGGTTGGCATATGTGCATCATGTGCAGATGGCTTCGATATTGGCAGTTATGACACGGACTTATATAAAATATATGGAATGTAACTAGCAGTAGAATTCAGGAGGCGCATTTTTATGCCGGATTAATGATCAAATCCAGGATTCAGATACATCGAGATAACGAGTTTTAAATAGGACGAAACGCGTGTCCTGAATTCCATTACTAACTACATTCCATCTATTCCATATAAACATGTATATAGAAATATTATTACATCACAAACTAACCTCCATAATCAACTCTTTCCCCTTTAATAAAGACTTACAACCAGCCAAAGATTTCACATCAGCTAACTGACTTTTTAATAGTTCCACTTCATTATATTCATTATCTCCATCAATAGACCTTGGGAGGTCTAGTAAATATAATAAAGCACGTAAAATAAATAAAGCTAGACATATACGGAGAAAAGACTTAACTATATAGTCTAGCAGACAATAAACAATATAATTAATTAATGAATAACTGTATTATAAGAATCAAAGAAATAACGAAAGACTGATGTTTACCAAGTAACTGAGGGTGTAAATGCGTGGGCCACGTTTATTGTATGGAAGCGAATTATCCTAGTCATAAAACGGGCAAAGTCTTGATAAGTGAGGTCAAACAATAACACTAATCTGACAACTGAATGATTAAATATTAGGATCACAAATGCATTTGTATTATTATATAGATGTCGAGTAGTGATACTTAATTTGAAAGGAATGCTCGATCAGATAAAATTACGTTTCAAGTACTGACATATGCCAAAATTATATATATCGCATCACAGATTAATATTAATTAGACAAACATTGAAAAACACAAATCCCTGGATAGTTTGTTTCCTTCTAGTGTGAAACAAAATCGAAGTATTCACACAGACCTGAATATCCTGGGTCTGATACCTGGTGGGGTCGTGGATGCGCACTCCCGAGGAGTCCCATACTAGGATGAAACGGTCGTTCAGTGCTTCCAGGTTTTCCATGGTGGTCTAGTTTTAATTGAATCATGAATTCAAATATTAAATTACTAAAATCTCCACAAAACCCGCTTCTGGTGATGTTAGTTCATGATATACACTACAAAATTCTGCAGTCTTCATAAGTCTTCTATTATAATATAGAGATATTATTGATGTGATGACATTTGGCGGGCTGCTGAAAAAAAGTGAAATACATTTCATTTAAAATATTAGGAAAACATGATAAACGAACCTAATACAAAAGTTTGTGAATTTACAACATTTTCTGTTACATTTCTCTCCGTTGTTACTCCTGTTTTTGTCGTATAGTGTTTGGCTAAACATTTTAATTTACACCAAAGACATCGAGATACATAACGTACGCGTCTGGTAAGATCATCACGAATTACTGCATACGGTAATTCAATTAAAAGATTATTAACAAGAGCTGATTTTCTACGACCATTTTCTTTAGACATGACAATAGTTGAATAATCTTCGTCGGATGATTCTCGTCTAAAATACTCATCGCCGTCGTCTTCTTCGTCATCAAGTGAAAAGAATTCATCATCGAATTCATTGGAGTGAAGCACATTATCATTATTTTGTACCCATGTAGTACAATGTCGTTGGAGAAAATCAGTGAATCGAATCATTCTTAGAGAGAGTTGACTGACAAGATCTCGAAGTTCACGATTCTCATAAAGTAAGTCATTTTGGCGACTTTCCAGTTGTTGAACTATTAATGATGATAAATCAGCCTATAAGTAAAAGTATTGATTACTTAAACAGAGCTGGATAATTCAACCATAGGTTAGAAAAAATGTTATAAAAACTAATACTAATTTTTATAGTTGAGATCATGAGTCAATTAAAGCTAGACCAGTATGGAAAAACCTGGAAGCACTGGACGGCCGTTTCGTCCTATTGCGAGACTCCTCAGTAGTATTAACATTAAAGTGAGTTGCATAACAGTTGAGTTAATTTCCAAACATTAAGATATATATCTCGATACCACGTCACATATAACAACTCGTCAATGAACCAGATTAAGATGGGTCTTGTATTTTAGTACTGTTCTTTTTTAACATACCACTCATGGTGAAAGAATGAAAAAAAAAGCTGAGAAAAATCTTATCAAGTAACCGGGGATGAGTTCATGAACTAGATTTTAATAGTTCAGAGGTCATAGATCCGACAAAAACGTCAGATTGATCTGAAAAGATAACGCAAATCTTACGAATTGGAAGTCTGGATCATTGGGTCAAATCTCTAAATTTTAATCAAGAATTTAAATACCTCATTACATAATCGTTGTTAAAAATCAAAGTTGTCCGAAATTCAGGACAAAATCCTTGAATTGCACGTCTTTTAAAATTGAACAACAAGAAATGCACAAATGATAAATAGCTTCGTAAACTTTTAGCACGAAATCCAAAATAGAAATCAAAATTTGCCCTAAAACTTATCAAATTCTTTTCCATCTTTTTCAAAATATGCGATGATTATTCTTAATATATTTTCTATGTCTAGAACTGGCTTAATAAAATTGAGGCTTGTGTCTTAATCGTTGTTTCCGAAATGTAAATTAATTTCGAATAATTTTCTTTCACAATCAGGAACGAAAGACTACATAAAGTTAGTAAGTGGCATGAAGGCACTCAACATCATTATCACAAAACAAAAGCCTAGACAAGATATGAAAAAAGGTACATACATATACGTCGTCACCATCAACAATGATAATACATTTAGAACACTGAGTTAGAATTCCTGGCATTTTGAAGCTTCCCAACTTATTCGTTCGCAAGTGTGATTATTACTCTCCATCTGAAGGCGGCCTGTTTGAATATCTGGGTTACCTGTTCCTACCGTCTGAATATTTAGACAAGCCATCTGTTTTTGTTTGTTTTAACACATCGCTATGTCTGTTAGCTGCAAAACCTATTCAGGGCGTTTATGAAAATTTTGCAACCTTTTGCTGTACAGGTTATCAAAAAGTACAATCAGCGACACCGTGGTGGCTGGCAGTATGTATTGAAAATAATGAACATTATTCAGATGTCAATTCCTGGACTGCTCATATCCGAATGGCGATCACTCAATAGTTATCATCAGAATCAATCAAGAAATAAGAAAAGGTAACTTGTTGAAATACTTCGTGCTGAGAATAATATATTGTCCCAACAATATATTGAATAAAGCTATTAATAATAATAATAATAATAATAATAATAATAATAATAATAATAATAATAATAATTAATATGCATGTGGAGCTAATCCGTGTCGGGTAGAGACAGGTATCTACCTCAGTACAAGATGGTCGCGCAATTTCGTGTGTTGGTTAAGGGTTAGACATTAACACCGTTGGGTGCCGACTCAGTGGTCTAGAGGTTGAGCGTCTGCGCGCGAGACTGGAGGCCCTGGGTTCGAACCCCGCGAGTGGGATCGTGGATGTGCACTGCTAAGGAGTCCCACGACAGAACGAAACGCCCGTCCAGTGCTCCCAGGTTTTCAATGCTGGTCTAAAATCAATCGGTTCATGATCTCAATCAAAAACATAATAATCTCCACAACCCTAAACTGATAGGATGTATAACTTTGAACAACACGACACTGAAATTTTCGCAGCTGCCATTAACTCATAATCGTTCAACAAATTACTGGCTATCTGGATTCAGTAGCTAAGTAAAAAACGAGTACAGGGTTTAAGTCACATTGTGAACATTAACACTCGTATATACGTCCGCTCGTCCAATGAACGAAACGCGTACCTTGGATTTCATTCCGAGGTACAATTCAAATATACACTAGATCTTCCAAAAAAAACATCAAATTCAAGGAACCACTGAAAATACATAAATGTCAATAAAGATCGATCGAAATTCAGTCCTGAATATCAACAATAAAATAATACAAACTCATAAATAAAAATATACAGGTTCATGTAACAGGTTACTAACTGAAATTATTATTTGAAGGTTAGAAAGTAGGGTAGGTAGAGTATTTCAATTGTGAATCAAACCCCTAAACTATTAATCACTGGACGAACACCGAGAGCTTCCTTTCTTCTAGACAAACTATCACATACCCTGGAGGTTTGAACATCCAAATCGTCTTTGATGTGAGAATCAAAGTTATTGACTGAGGTAGCTGAATCAAATTTGGCACTACCTAAACCAGAATTAGTTCGAATTGTACTTCCAAATCTCCGGGAACTGGATGGTTCCCCATTTGTTATTTCAGGCTTTTTATCAACTTCTGACGATAAAAACCACTGTGACATTGATAAAACCGTTGGAGAACAAGACAGTTTATTTGTTTTTTGTCCTTTGTTCCAGTTAGGAGTGGCTTTGTCAATTAAAAATGTTAAGCGTTTCCGAAGATCCGTTGCTTCTTTCTCTAGCTTACGACGTTCGTGTAGAAATTGGATTTCATGTCGTTGGAAATTTGACTGAACTTTACGAAGCTATAAACAAAGAAGTAACAGGCAACTTACTGGAATTCAATATAATCTTAGGAATATCTAGAGGAAATCACAAAAGTATTTATATCAATCGTTGTTGTCAATATATATAATCCGCCTGTAGCTCTTCTAGAGTTACTGCCGGTCCCAAGCCCGGGTAAAGAAGAGTTGGGAATGGGGTCGGCAATCTCATCCCGTAGAAGACAATTTTACCAAAAACACTAACCAGATCAAACAAATTAAGCCATTTAAACTCAAACATGGAAGTTGAAGGAAGAATTATGACGCCTTATTATGAAAGCCGAGATTTTTCGGAAGTCACGAGGCTGATGGCTCTTCTAACAACCAGAGCTACAATTTATATAGGTATGGAAAATGTGGGAGACCGGAAGGACCAGTCAAATAGCTACCGAAATGAGGCGATACAACTTGGCGGTGTTCGGAATCAGCAAAACCTATTAGACCCAAGCTGGTCAGAAAAAGATAGATACGAGAGAGATGCTGCTATACTCTGATCACGAAGAAGAAAATGCTTTGCACGCACGAGTTGCACTGATGCTAGTAAAAGCAAGAAAAGCACTTTTTAGGCGAGAATTTCGTGAATTCAGTGTTATACACACCGATTATAGTAACGACGACGATAAAGATCAATTCTATGAGAGGCTGCAACCAATCATAGCGAAGTGCTCATGACAGGGAGAGAGAAACGAGAATGGCGAGGAATTCGCCAATTTATGAACATTCAACAAAATGGTTGTAGGTGGCACAATATTCCCCCACAAACACATGCACGAAGCTACATGGGTTCCTCCGGATCATCTAACGGAGAACCAAATAGATCACATTTGCATCAACCAAAAATTCAGAAGGACAATAGAAGACGTGAGAATCAGGAGAGCAGCTGACATAGCCTCAGATCACCACCTGGTGGTTGCCAAGATGAAAATGAAGCTAAAGAAGCAATGGACAACTGGACAAACAGCAGTACAAAGACTCAATACAGCTTTCCTTCGATATGCTGACAAACTCAATGAATTTAAGATAACTCTCTATAACAGGTTCCAAGCCTTACAAGATCTACTGAAAGAAGAAACTACTATGGAGGACAACTGGAAAGGGATCAAACAAACACTAACTTCAGTGTCAGGAGTAACAAGAAACATCATCATAAGGAATGGATCTCTGTCAAAAAATCCTGCACAAGATTCGAGATAGGAAGAACAAGAGGATAGTGATTAACAACAGCCGAAAAAGAGCAAAGAAAGTCGAGACACAAACTGAATACATTGGAGCAAACAAGCAACAGCATTAGAGCTGACAAGCAGAAATACATGGAAGCCTTAGCAGTGACAGTAAAAAAAGCTGCAAATGAAGGAAATATGAGACAACCATATAACATAACGAAGAAATTAGCAGGGGAATATGGTAAATCAGAGACACCGTTCAAGGACAAAGAAGGTAAATCAATCATGAGATTCAAGAACAAAGAAACAAATGGGCAGAATACTTTGAGGAACTCGTAAATGGACCAACCACACTGAATCCACCAGACATAGAAGCAGCACCTGCAGACCTTCAGGATGGTCATGCGACAAATCAAGAGCTGGCAAGAAGACGTGGAAGTAACTGCAAACATGATTCACGTTCTATTCAGAAAGATTTGGGAAGAGGAACAGGTTCAGAGAGATTGGAAAGAATACCTTATCGAGATATCAAAGAAAGATCTCAGAAAACGTGAAAACTACAGAGGCATCACACTACTATCGGTACCAGCAAAAGTTTTCAACAGAGTTGTTGAACCGGATGACGGATTCAGTAGACGCCCAACCTCGAGATCAACAGACTGGATGCTGTAAGGATAAGTCATACACAGACCAAATTGCGACACTACGGATCATCGTTGAACAATCAATTGAATGGAACTCGTCACTATACATCAACTTCCTTGACTATGAGAAAGTATCTAACTGTATACATGGGAGGACCCTATAGGACCTTCTTTAACACCATGGTATACCTGAAAACATTTTCAACATCATAGGGAATTCATACGACCGACTACAGTGCGAAGTCATGAGAGTAGGACAGCAGATGCATTTCAAATGAGGACCGGAGCCAGACAAGGTTGTTGAATCTTCTCCATTCTCTTTCTTCTGGTGATTGACTGGATTATGGAGACTTCAACATCTGACGGGAAGTGTGAAATACAATGGACAGCTCAGAATCAGCTAGACCACTTGAACTACGCAGACGACCTGGCTTTTCTATCTCATACACACGAAGAAATGCAGGTAAAGACAACTAGTGTAACAGCAGCCACTACATCTGTAGACCTCAACAGACACAAGGGAAAAAGCAAGATACTAAAATGAAACAGAGAAAACCAGCCCAATAACACTTGATGGAGACAATCTGAACGATGTGGATACTTCCACATATCTGTGAAGCATCATCAATCAACAAGGAGGATCAGATGCAGACGTAAAGACGAGGATTTTCAAAGCAACGACCGCATTCCTACGACTGAAGAACATATAGAACTCAAAACAACCGTCAACCAACATCACAGTCAGAATCTCCAATACGAACTTCAAGACAGTTCTACTGTACGGAGCTGAAACTTGGAGAACTAATACAACCATCATCAAGAAGGTACAATTATTTACAAATAGTTGTCTACGCAAGATACTCAACATCCATTGGCCAGATACCATCAGCAACAGCCTACTGTGGGAGAGAACAAATAAGCTTCCAGCTAACGAGGAAGTTAGGAAAAGACGATGGAAATGGATAGGACATACATTGGAGAAATCATCACACTGCATCACAAGGCAAGTGCCTACTTCGAATCCTGAAGGGGAGCGGAAAAGAAGAAAGCCAGAGAACACACTGTGGTGAGAATTGGAGGCAGACATGAAAAGGGTGGATAGCAACTGTAAACAACTGGGAAGGATTGCCCAGGACAGAGTGGGATGGAGAATGCTGGTGGGCGGCCTACGCTTCTCCGTGAGGGGTAACAGGCGCGAGAAATATATATATATATATAGCACTTCCGTATGCCGGAGGCGAGAGGATTATCTCTCCCTCTCGAAATGCGCTCGCACGGCCACGCGTATACAGCCACTGTCAGGGAAATCCTACTCACAGCATTCTCGCAACAGGGGTGTTGTTTACGAAATTGAGAGGACGAAAAGCGAATGTCCGTCGCTTTAACCAGGTTGGTGGTGATAAGTCGTGTAGGTTGAACGCTATATACGGTTCCTAAGCTATTTCGGTAACCCGCAGTCTAGAACTACACAGCGACTTGAACTCCAGAGAGAAGACACAAGAATGAGAGAAAGCACTTTATTCCAAGGTTCATTTTTGTACAGAAAATCATGGGTATTTATAGATTTTGGCGTCTGTTAAATCAACATCATTTTACAGCCAATCCGATAACAACACATTATGCTACCGACCAATAGTAGCACGCCACGTTGGAATTCTAGAACGTTCCATCACACTCTGATTGGCCAGGACTCTTCGGCTCCTTGTGGGCCTCTGGAGGCTCCGCTGAAGTTCTCCGGAAGCAGACCCAACAGGTGGATACGGAGGGTCCACCTAGGGGAGTTGGAAAACCCCGGTCCCAAACCAGTGGTGCATATGAGCTCCAGGATCCTGAAGGGAAAAATGGCGTGTGAACCAATTGTTGGTCACCGACTACCATGGGACTGCATCTCCTGATGTCGCTCAACTGTCTTGTGGACCAGACCTTTAGGTCGAAGGCCCCGAGTATTGGCCCCCTAGGGAGACTACCTGCTTCAGTCTGGGCGCTCGTGCAATATCACAGATCACACACAAACCAAGTGACTTGTGTAGCGCATATGGAATCGGTGCTCCTTTATATACCAATATTTATATGTTCAAATAATAATAACTTTCGTATCCTTCAATATATTATTAACCAGTCATAAATTTCGGGACTGTTTGTTACTGCCAACTTAAAACCATGTTACAAGGTGGCCGATGGAGAATTTACCATTCTAATTAACGACAAATGATGGTTCTTTACTACGGATGTTCGGTCATCATACTGATAAAAAAAATCCGATTCGACGAAAATAATGCCGTACGTATACAAATTTTTTTTCTGATTCAATATTCATTACTTAAATTTCCTTTGTTTTTGTTTGAACTGTAAACTTGTCAGGTTTGCCAGACAAATATGAACAGTTAAATTTAAGCTCCTTTTGGTTATACTTGAATCAGACTATAAAAAACATCCTGTTACTGGTTTTTCCAACTAAATAAAATTGGCTATGAAAACCATTTATCCACTAGATGACCCTGTAAGTTGATGTTTCGTTTAATTTCCTTAGGGTTCGACTCAAACAACTGAATGATTTCTTAGTTAAACACTAACAGTAAACAAAAGATTTAAAGATAAAGGATGTTTCTATTACTGAACAAAGCGGAAATAGTTAGTGAAAAATATGAAGTCCTAGTGCACTTAGTGGTACAACAGCATACTTAGTTACGAGCTAAACTTCATGTGCGAAAGCTAGCAACACTAATCTGTTCCAAAGTAACAAGAGTAGCCGCAGAGAAGTAGCTATTTCTAGACAATTTAAATTGAAAATCACCAAACAAAGATTATGTTTAAACTAAAAATAATCCAATGTCATGATATTCATTCAGAACAATTTAAAAATGTAACTACAAGAGAGAATTTTCATCCACAAAAACTTACTTCATTACATGTAGATTTCAAACGATCATTAAGTAACTTTTTATCATTTAAAGCTTGTTTTTCCCTTTCTTTGATTAATTCATTTGATCTTTGTGTTTCTTCCAAATTTTGCTGACATCTTCGATAAAGTTTTTGTACTTGAGTTAAATCTGACTGTACACGATGAAAACTAATTACAAAACATAAAAAACAGAACGAAAAAAAGTATGTAAATACAAAATTGGTGCCTTGATTATAAATAATTAATTATATTTTTACCCATAAAATCAATGAATGTCATTTGCAGATAACCAGATGTCTATTTTCTTTAATCAAAAGGCGAGTATACAGTAAAGTAGTCTGCTTTGTATTATTCTATGATAGGGATAAATAGCCAATGAGAGTAGAAGACATGAATTTGTTAGCATTCTATAATAAGTGTTGTAGAAACATTGCTTGTGCATGGTGGAGCTACAGTGTAAGGCTGATACTAGAGGTACGGTACTGATATGTGTCACACACGCTCTATCACCGACTATTCTGGGGTCTGATGCTGAACAGCTGTTATAACTGTGAAAATATGCTTCTGATTAGAGGGGTAGCGAATTATTGATCAGACCAAAGACGCGCAAACACACAGAACGACCTAGGGTATCCCAACAATAGCATAATAGCAGATTTGAAAAAAACTAATGGGTTGTATACCAAGTCATAAAATCAATGTATAAAATAACTAATTATGGATCTGAAACGCGTTGGGAGGCGATAAACTTTGTTTTTGGAAGCCATCAACTGACTGCGATCGATAGATCTTCAATGACGTCTTAACATTGATCACAGAAATGAATCCATTTTTTTATCTCCCTTTAAAAGTGTTAACACCGCTCATGTTTTTCACTAACTGGTTTCATTTATTCTCTGCTTGGTCTCCACTCTTGATGACATTATTATTTCGACTTACTTGCTTGTCATCTTGTTGATTTCTTGGTGTTATGTTGATAGAAAGTGTGAAAAAAGTCCAGTTTACATTTAGATTAGGTAGTACCACTAATACAATTTTTATAACTGTGATTCACTTTTAGAAATAAATACAGCATCATTTGAAAATATCATAACATACAAAGATATTGAATACTTAACAATACATATGTTATGACGTACAAAAAGCATAACCTAAAGTAAATATAATTTTTAAACGCAGGCTTATTTAATTCACTATAACAAAGCGAATCTTAAGTTTTAAGGTAAAAAAAAATTATGCAGATGAGTTAATTAATGATTTCATAACAGTAACTAGCTTTATTCCGCTTATCTATTAATGTTTAGTGTTTTAGGTACTTTATTTACTAAGTTTTTTATAACTGAGATGATAAATAAATACAGCGCACATGTATTTGCTTTCGTTTTACCAGACCTCAACCTTGTAAACGGAATTGTGATAAATTATCCATACAATCCACTGTGAGATACATAACTCTACCATAGTAATCTGAAATTGATAATATGCATTTTACCATTGGTGAATTACTAAGAATAGTAACTTCATGTCAACTGAATAACTTGTTGAAGCTGAATGAACTTTCCTCAATTACTCGATGACGAAAAACGTTGGTACGTGATTTGTTTCACGCTTCAAAGAATGGCTCAACTGAATCAATTACTTTACAGGAACAGGTGAAGTCACATGAATTAATTGTTTGAGACACTAAAAAATCTATAAGTTTGTAGTTGACATTAGGACAATAATATGCCGCAGTCAAATAGTTTAACCTTAACTGTTACATCATCATCCTTAGACACCCAAAACTCGAAGATAATAAAGCAGAATCTCCAAGTGACATGAATGAAGATGGCGAACGTACATCTGATTATATAAAAGTTCATGAAATGACTCATTTTCATTTATTTCTAAAACAAAACACTTGGTACAATAGGGTACTGAAACATATATAGTGAATGAAAATTTAACGTATTAGATAAAGTGATGAGACCATGTTATTGCTTGGATAAAAAACGAGAAAATATTATAATTACATGATGAAGAATTATGCATAAGATAATCTCTACTCCACACCAAGCCCCCAAATGCCCTGGTATGGCCGAGAGTGGGGAGAGTCCGCTCTCCCTCTCGAAATGCTCTCACACGGCCACGCGTATACAGCCTCTGCCAGAGAAGTCCTACTCATTGCCTTCTCGTGGCGGGGGTGTTGTTGACGAAAATGAGGGGATGAAAAGCGAATGTCCGGCGCTTTAACCGGATTCCAAACCAATGGTGCACATGGGCTCCAGTATCCTGCGGGAACAAATGGTGTATGAACCAATCGTTGGTCACCGGCTACCGTGGGACAGCATCTTCTTATGATGCTCCACTGCCTTGTGGGTTAGACCTTTAGGTCAAAGGCTCGGGGTGTGGCCCCCTAAGATAACCACCTGCTTCGGTCTGGGCAGCCGGGCAGTATCACAGCCCACACACAAATATGATGAACCGCCTATAATTATGGAAACTACTTTACTTGCTTTTACTAACAATCAAATGATTCAAATGGTTATCATCACTATTATTATTATTATTATTATTATTATTATTATTATTATTATTATTATTATTATTAAGATTATTATTATTATTATTTACCACATTATTCACCCTCTTTTATACTTATATAGCGGCTCGTCTTTGGTGGAAATTCGACAGTATCTAAACGCTCTCCAGTCAGTGTCCGGTTGAAAATTATATGTTACCACCGAATATGAGTACTGAAACAGTTTTTCTGAAACCACGTGCAACATTCAAACTGGCTGCCTTCAGCGTTCGCACGTTTATGCAGGTCGGACAACAGATAGGGCTGGCTAAGTCTTTGGAAAGTCTTAATATCGACGTTTGATGTCTATCCGAGACCCGTATTCAAGACTGGTGAAATACTACAGATTCGCTCTCCATCTGTCGCTTCAAAAAGCTTGTTTTAGGTGCGTATATCCAGGGACCCTGTGGCATCTTCGTCTGGTCTTGCTGGCGTTGGTGTTACACTAAGCGCTAGAGCCGAGGCAGCACTAGTCGATTGGATCCCCATTAACAGTCGGTTATGTGCTGTTAGAGCAGAGAGTTCCATCAAATTGCGAAGAAATCGGAGTGAGAAACGATGTCTTTTCGTCATCTCTGCCTATGCCCCGACAGATTGCAGCCCGGATGCAATCAAGGATGAGTTTTACCACCAGTTATCTGTTCTTCTCCAGAAAGTGCGTTCAATAGATATTGTAGTACTAGCCGGAGACTTGAATGCTCAGGTCGGGCGTCTAGGCACAGAAGAGAGTCGTTTAGGTGGCCGATGGGGACTCGTTGGTCGCAGGTCAGATAACGGAGACCGTCTACTGCAACTGTGCACAGACCACAACCTGTTTCTGGCTAGCACTAACTTCCGGCACAGTCATCGCCGATGTGCCACCTGGCGTTCTCCCTCTGCGTCCCAAGCCTGGACTCATATTGATCACATCGCGATCAGCTACCGCTGGCGTGGTTTTGTACAAGACTGCCGCTCCTTTTGGAGTACCTATCTGGACTCTGACCATGACTTGGTTTGCGCCAATCTTACCTTACTTTTCAGTGGACAACGAAGTGACCGCCACCAACGGACTGATGTTAGCAAGCTGGTTGCAACTTCTGTTGCTAGTAAGTATCGAACCGAGCTAGTTTCTAGGCTAGCTACCATTCCACCGAAAAGTATAGATGAGCATTGGTTGCAATTGCATGACGCCATGAAAATGGCGGGTACAATCAGTTGTGGGTTCGCGAAACGTCCCGCTTATAAGCACTGGGTTTCTTCAGGTTCCTTACAACTCATTGAAGCCCGTCGGTCTACTCCGGGTGACCGTGAGTTTGAACATAAACGAAGGATGTTACGTAAGGAAATCGGGCAAAGCTTGCGTAAGGACCGAGAAGCCTGGTAGTCGAAGCGTGCTAATGAGCTGAAAACAGCAGCTACTTCTGGTAACTACCGGAAGCTCTTCCAACTCATCCGAGTCACTGGCAGCAAGAAGTCCGGTGTGAGTGAAACAATCTGCGAGGATGATGGGATGCCAATCACTAACATCCATCGACGTCTTGGACGTCGAGGCAGAATTTTTCGAAGGGCAGTTCAACTGGCCTGCTGCTCCGGCAACATCGGTCAGACTGTCCTGCCCTCCATGGCCGGTGACGACTGATCCACCAAACGAGGAGGAAGTCCGCAAGGAACTCCAACTCTTGAAGCGTCACAAATCACCTGGCCCAGATGACTTACCTCCGGCTCTTCTTAAAGATGGTGGTGACTTTCTGACTAAGGAATTGACGACGTTGTTTACAAAGGTCTGGGAACTAGAGAGTGTACCAACGTCATGGAATGAGTCGATAGTTGTCCCTATCTTTAAAAAGGGTTCACGTCGTTCCTATAACAACTATCGGGGGATAAGTCTACTTCTGATTGCGTCCAAACTTTTGGCTTCCGTCATGCTGCGTAGACTGTTCAAAACCCGAGAAAGATTGACTCGCGAGGAGCAGGCTGAGTTTCGTTCTGGTCGAGGATGTATTGATCATATCTTCACCCTCCGCCAAATGTTAGAACACCGCCATACTTATTAAAGGCCAACAATCGTAGTGTTGCTTGACATCAGGGCTGCCTTCGATTCGTTGGATAGGACTGTTCTCTGGGATTGTCTATTGAAGAAGGGTGTGCCTGAGAAGTTTATTAACATCATAAAAGCCCTATATACAAATACCTCAGGCAGAGTGAGGGCATACAACCACCTCTCTCCATTGTTCCATTCGAGTAGTGGGGTTAGGCAGAGTTGCCCAATCTCACCATTCCTCTTCAACTTTGCCATCGATGACATTCTGGAAACAGCTCTGATAAATGTAAGTAATGGTGGTGTGGATCTGTTGCCTGGAGAAAGACTTCTCGACCTTGAGTATGCGGACGATATTGTCTTACTGTGCGACAATGCCCAAGGCATGCAATCCGCACTTAATCAGTTGGCAATCAGTATCCATAGGTATGGTATGTGCTTTGCACCTTCGAAGTGCAAAGTACTTCTACAAGACTGGCAGGATTTCAATCCTGTACTCACCCTGGATGGTGAGCAGATAGTAGTCGAGAAGTTCGTGTATCTAGGTAGCTGCATAAGTGCTGGTGGTGGCGTAAGTGATGAGATCAATGCACGTATAGTGAAAGCCAGAGACGCTTATGCCAATCCGGGCCATCTTTCGAGCCTTCGTGATGTTAGTCTGGATGTAAAAGGTCGGATCTACAACGCGTCGGTGAGAGCAGTTTTGCTCTATGCTTGTGAAACCTGGTCTCTCCGAGTTGAGGACGTTAGACGACTCCGTGTTCGATCATCGCTGTCTCCGAAGGATTGCTGACATTCAGTGGCAACACCATGTCAGTAATGCAGAGGTTCAGCATCGTGTGTTCGGGTACAGAGATGATAATGCAATCGATGTCACCATCTTGAAACACCGACTTCGATGGCTTGGACATGTTCTACGAATGTCGTCCCAGAGAATTCCACGTCGTGCATTATTTGCCGACTCTGGGACTGGTTGGAAGAAGCGGAGAGGTGGTCAGTGCATGACATGGTGTTGTGGCATGAAAGAAACCAGCAAAGGGCTGGCTTCTGTTGGTCCTTTACGACTCCCTGGTTGGGGTCTGAGAGATGGTGCTACACAGTGGCTAGAGACGTTATGAGATATGGCTCAGATTAGAAGCCAGTGGCGATCCTGCTGTAACCTTCTTTTAATTTCTTCATAAAAAGTGGTTGTGTCTCCCTTACCTGAAAGATTTCTTCTGATTGTACCTTTCCGTTCCCTCATTTCTACCATACTACCTTACACCAATCTCTTCGTTATTGTTCTCTTTTTTTGCGCTCCTTAGCTTTTTTTTCTATTTCTCTTCGAATTCTCATTGTTTTGTGTGGCGCATATATATTGGCGCTCTCTTGTACCAATATTCATGTGTTCAAATAAATAAATAATACTCCACACCATTTATTACTAGACTCCTATTAAAAGATTACGCTGTTACATGGAGCCATGAAAGACGTTAGTCGTGTTAATGTATTATGAAAATAGTTACCGATAGTTATTTGAAATCTTTCAAACAGCAAGAAGGTGAGCGAAAGAAGCTTCCCTACTCTTCAACTGGTTTCACCATACAACACCAGGTGTTTTCTATACCATTCAAAGGTCAGTCAGTCAGCAACAACGTGGAACTTCATACGTACGTATATCAGTTCAAGTTACCATACCACATTAGCACACAGATACAATTCTCGATTCAAATCCCATAGTGGTAAAGGTAGTAAAAGCATAAGCAACAATCGGAAAGATTAGGGTTTGAAGATGTTATAATCTAGTGAAATAAATCTGGGGATAAAAAAAAGAGACAAGGAGGAATAAGGAGATCAAAATTTGGGAGAACACAAAGAGTGTATGCACCTGCGCCATTGCAAACGATTTTGAGTCATGTCATTCAAGGTCTCTAATAATCGGTTGCTATCGTCTTGCGGATCCCAACCAGGTAGTCTACACCTGGTTTAGTCCACTTGTCAGTGACTTCATGGATTTGTGCCATGTTTTGGTCTGGCCGCCCCTAGCTTTTTTCCAATCTACTCCTACACCATAAAACATAGCATGTCGGGGGCAGTCTGTGGTTATGCATACGTAACGTGTCTCAACTGAAGTTTCAACACTTCATCAATCGATTTTCCATCCTTACCTAGTATCCGTTTCCTAACAACCGCGTTACTTACTCCATGGTCCCAGGATATACGAGCAATGTTTCGAAGGCACCTATGATCAAATACTAGTAACCTACGAATATCCTCTACCCTTACCGGCCATGTTTCACAGCCATAAAGTAGGACAGAACGAAATGCTGCTCAATAAACCCGTCCTTTATTTGGTAGACGGATATCTGAAAGGAAATAAAGTCTTTACAAGTCCAATTGCCAGACATCTCGATAGTGGACATAAAGTGAATGTAAATGATGCACTCAAAATAATCAACACACGAAAAGCATCAGTCTTATTCAGTTTTTCAGACACAATCGCTAGCCAGCGTTCCCGACCTGACCTAGGTATAGAGAAGGAAAGTTTAACTAGCCATTTCCTGCCATGGTGGTTGGATATTTGTCCAATAACCTGTTAATTTTAACCTTTTTTTCAATCTTGTCCCCAACCTTTTTATCGTCTTGTTATTCTTGCATCTTTTTGATATTCATCTCTTACACAATCTGATTGGTGTTCACATATTTATTTTATCATGTTGAGTGATTACCTAATCACCCATTAATTTCATCGCCTTTACATAATTATTACTTCTCAACATATAAATACACATCAATCTTAACTAGGTTTATCCATACACTTAGTAACCTTATTCTTCTGATTATGATTTTCATTACGTTTTGAGTAATTATCTAAATTTCATAAACTAAAGTATGCTAAACATTTATTAATTGTATTTAGATTAGTTATTGTAATTTTAAGTTGCATGCAGCCGATGAGAAATGAAATATAATGAACTCATTTTATTTAACAAACCTTCTTCTTGCTGTTTACATTTATCAAGGGATATGGTTGTATGAAATTTTTGAAAAAACGTCTCATACCTAAATATTTACCTAATGTTGAAAACTAACTACATAACAAGAATAAAATTCGACTCACTTTAATTCAATTTCTTCACGACTATTTAAACTTTTACGATAGGATGTAATCAACTTTAACACACCATCAATAAAACTATTCATAGTGATTTGAATTTCTCCATTTTCCACCCTTAAAACTTTTGAATAACCCATTATCTCGAATTCCTAGATAAAATACGTTTAAAAAATAAATAAATAAATAAAATAAACGACGAACTAGTAAACTTAAAAGAAAATGTTTATGTGAAGTAATCAAAAGATGGTTGACATAACGAGAGGTAATATAAGATATAATTTATTGGGGAATTAATTCCCTTAAAAAGATAGTATAAAAATCAAATATTCGCAATATTTAAATTTACAATTAACCTTGCTAAAAAGCTTGGTGCAACTAACAAGCTAATTGATTTTATTTGACCTAACTCATTTCACGAAGTACACGTTTGTGTTTGCCTTCAAGACCACACTCAAATTTTGAGGGCTAGTGAAACTACCATAATGCCTAAATCGAAGTAGATGGAGTGTGATTTGAAAATGTGACTCAACTATTGAATTATAGGTATTTTAGCCGACAATTTATTTCATGACTAAGAAGTATTTCCAAACAAAAAAGTACATAGAAGTAAGATTTTAAAATAGGATTTCAGCCCTGTTAAAAAGCACAAAAACCAAACGAATAGTTCCCTAAGCAGCAACTATGTAGTGGGAAAGCTGTGATGCAAGAACATTTAATAACTTGGATTACTCATAAACTAAAATATACAATACAAAAAAGTATTACAAGCGCATCCTCATAAAGACAACCTTAAGTTATCCAGGAACAACTGATCAGTTACTACTGCCAAAATCATGTAGAAAGAAACTATGCATACTAGGATGAAACGGCCATCCAGTACTTGCAGGTTTTCGATGGTGGTCTAACATTGATCGGTTCGTGATTTCAATATACACTTTAGATTTTGCTTAGAAAATTTCTCAGTAATTTATTGCTTTTATTTCCTATATTTTATAGTAATGTTTATTCGTAGTGTAGTACACTGTTCAACTAGTAAGCTCAGCCAGTCATATGCAACGTAAGACCTCATACATATGTACATTGGTTCAAGTTGCCATACCATATTAATACAGTGAGAAAAAATTATCTCAAGACAGAATCCAAAGAAGTAGAGGTAGTAACAGTGTCAGTGGTAGTAAAAGGCCAGGGATAGAGAGATTTCAGAACCCAGGTTTTAAGGGGAGACAAAAAAGTTCATGGACAAGAGCTATGGCAAACCATCCTGAGTCATGACACTCAGTCTCTAATTAACTAGTAAATTATGTTGAATCATGCATAAAAGCAACAGCTTTTATACACCAAAATACACAAAGTAACTAGATTCACTTACATTTGATATGCAAAGTAATACGCTGAAATCGCTAAGTATTAGAACATTTCAAGACACTGTTTAATGCACAGATTACCACACTAGAGTACTACTAAGAACCCCAAGTAATCTAAGAATCTCCAATATCACTAATAAATATTTATTATCACAATTTATATGCGTGAATACTGCACAAAAGTTTTTGACTCAGTGGTCTAGTGGTTAGGAGCTCGCGCGCGAAACTGAAGGTCCTGGGTTCAAATCCCGCGAGCGGAATCGTGGATACGCACTGCTGAAGAGTCCCATCGTAGGACGAAACGGCCGTCCAGTGCTCCCAGGTCTTACTCTTCACCATAAGAGTAGAGGAATGTGGAAAAGATTTAGATCACTAGGTACTAATGAGACAAAATCTCAATATTCGTATATAAACCAAAGGACTAAAAGAAGAGGAAATATTCCAGCACTATAGGGAGACAGTAATGTTTCATCATTAGTGGAGGACGACTATGGTAAAGCTCAATTATCCTCAAACTACTTTAGCAATGTATATACCGCATGAACACCCTTCCCGTCAGTTCATACAAATCCCCGCACACACTGGACAACGCGACCATTAAAGAACTCGATGTCTTTGGTTTGCTAAATAAGCTTGACATAGGCAAATCCACGGGACCCGATGAACTGCATCCTAGGTTAATAAAGGAACTAGTTAACTTCGCTGCGAACCCAGGGTCATTTACCAAGACTGGAAGAACGCCATAGTAAGTCCTGTCTTCAAAACAGGTACGAAACATAAACCTAAGAACTACCAACCCGTTAGCCTAACTAGCGTGGTTGTTAAAATTTTAGAAAATATTATTCGGTAGGAGCTGTTTAAGTACTTCCGTGAAAACCGGATCCTTTCGGAAAAGCAACATGGTTTTAGAATATGTTATTCCTGTCTCACTTAGTGGCTCGTGAAAGCTGGTCAGCTCTTAAAGACCAAAATCTACCTATAGACGTAGCTTACATCGACTTCAGTAAAAATTTTGACAAATTTCCCCACAACCGGCTGTTATATACGTTAAGAAATGTCGGAATTGGGGGCAATCTATTAATGTGGATAAAAGACTTCCTAGTTGTGCGACAACAAAAAGTACGGGTGGACTCCAAGTTGTCTGTCTGGGAGACTGTGCTTAACGGAGTACCTCAGAATACAGTTTGGGGATCAGTGTTATTCGTCTTGTATGTAAATGATCTTTCACATCTATCATCATCGGTTTTGCTATATACTGTCAAGATATGGAGAGCGATAAAAAGTAAAGGTGATAGCTTAGAGCTTCAAAATAACCTGGAGAAATTATCTGAATGGTCTCAAATTTGGCAGTTGCCGATATATATTTTCAAGTATTGTAATGCATATTGGTCATCAAGGTATAGATGCATACATGATGAATAACATTGAGCTACCTATTGTCACCTACCAATTGACACACAATGACTTAGTAGTCATCGTTAGCAAGACTTAAAAACTACTGCACACTGCCATGGAACAGCCACCAAAGGTTTTAGAACCCTATGGTCAATACGTAGGGCCTTTAGCCATGTCGAAGCTAAAACGTTTCTGACTTTGTATACAGTACTTATGTGTCCTGAACTTGAGTACTACAAACAAGCGACTAGCCTCTGCTTAAAAAGACAGTGAGGTTTTGGAAAAGGTTCAGAGAACAGCAACTAAACTGATTCCCGGAATAGCGAAGCTCCCACAACATGTTCGACTGGTTAAACTTAACCTATTCCCATTGTCATATCGAAGAACTAGAGGTGACTTGATTACGGTTTTCAAATTAATTAGTGGTAAATTTGCATCTGGTATATCCAAATTTTTTGGTCTTCCAAAACAGAGAATCTACGAGGACACTCCATAAAGGTTTACAAGCCCAGAATAAATTACTTTTCGGTTGACTATAGACTTTCCCATCGAGTCATTAAGGAGTGGAATTCATTATTTCAACACGTGGTTAAAGCTCCATCTGTCGACTCTTTCATAAGAAAGTTGGATTGACTGAGATCATTATTGACAGGACTAACACAGGCCATCTAGCCTCCTGTCCTTTCCAAACTGAAACTGAAACTTGTATCGATAAAGAAAATTTTTAAAAAGACATTAACCATAGCCAACTCTCACCTAAATACCATGCATAAACATTTCTTAGAAAATGTATAGAAAAATTATACGTACAGAATTTATCAGTCGGATAGAAGAATCTAGCTGGCTCTGGGGGACGACTACGAAATTTTCAGAGTGTGATGTAGAGGGATCTTGTGAAGACGGTTTATCAAAGACTGGTTGAATATTCCAAATAGCATTGTTGAAATAATCTATTGACGGAATGTGCGACATTTTACGTTAAAAAATGTTCTCTTTGTCACGATCTTAAATGAAAACCTTGAATTAACAGTTAATCTTAATAAAGAGGGAAAGGAAAAATGTAAAAATTTACAAGTTGATTACACAATGGAAATATGAAAAGTGATGCTGAACTAAAACATCATGAACAATCGGAAAACACGTATAATTGGCTGATCAGAGTAGTGACAAATATCATAAATGTGAAGACCTCGATATGAAATCGTCAAGATCACAGGTAAATCTCGGTGACAAGTGCTAAGTAGAAAGGAACCTATGTCAAACAGGGTTCACCCTACCGATAACTTCTGATACCTTAAATGAACAATGATCAAAACCCAATTGATTGTAGTTTAACGACTCCTTGAATGCTATATTACTAAGAAAGTAGTTGTCAACCATATGGAATATGGTGCCACCTTGAATTAGGATAATTAGCGAATGAGTAATATATATAGCAATTTTTAGACACATCTGAAGCTAAACCGGCCTTACTTTTTTATAACTGTGGTCGGGAGTTCGCAGCTATCAACCGCTACTGAGAAGCTGAAACCAACGAAGCTTAAGTATGCTTCATCTAATAATAATGATGAATTATCCCAGTAGCATTAAACCGTCACATAGTTTATATTTTAGAGATAACATATTACAGACTATCCCTAATAAATAAATAATAGTATTCAAAAGTTGGTCGAACATCAAATTAAAAAAGCAGTAATGCAACAACTTAATAACACAACAGCATTGTTTATTCATCTAAACACATAAACACTGGTATAAGGGGGTACCAAATATACATGCGCCACACTTCATCATTCGATTTGTGTGAAGGTTGGAATACTGCTCGGGTGCCCAAACCGAAGCAGGACAGTAGCATTGACAGTATGAGACTCACCCACCTAAATCATGCTCTCCAGTATAGTCTCCCAAAAGACAACAGTGATTTCACGGACGGTTACTGAGAATATCGGCTGGGCTCCCGTCAACCGAGTGTAAAAAAGTTAAAGATTAGCGCTGAGAAGGTACAAAGGCCCAGGTATCGAAAGAAACCAGCCAGCCAATCTACATCTAATTAATCGATTGGCTGACAAGGGTCGTGGAATTTCAGGCCATAGTCGTGGCCAAATCAAGAATTCTCTGAACCTAAAGTAGATAATATCCTTGGAAACAGGCCTAGGACTGTGTGAACTCCCTTATCATTATGAGATCAAAATACCGTCCAAATTTTTCATCCAGTCTTTAAGATAAAAGTGACAGGATGTTGTTAAATGAAATGGACCAGGGGCTTAAACGTACAGGAAATAAACCTCTTAAAGGCTACACGACTTACATGAAGCAAGAATTCCAAACACGTGAACCAACCAAGGCTCCGTATAACGTTTACCAGTGCCGATGATGTGGGGGACGTTTTATTACCCAGTCATTCGCTCAAGTCCGAGTGACGTGAGAATACTGCCGGACAAACCATGGAGCATAACTGCTAAACGAGCTCAAGAAAATCCAGACCACGATGACACAGCTAATGATGTCAAAGAAAGTCTAAGGAACTTGAGGCTATACAGTCGCAATATATTATAACTCAACACGTGGGGATGCTAGATCTCGATTTATGGGGGTGACCTTCCCATTATTCCACAGTGACCACAACTACCAGTGAATTTTACACCAGCAGACACTGGATACCAGCTACGATTCACATGCATCCTGATACACCACACTACATTGTGATTAAGTGCGAGAATACATTTGAGCATACTGTTGCACTTGTGGACTACCAAGAACACAAATACGTAGGAAGGACAGGGATTGCCCAGTCATATAGATTTCAGATTCAGATTTGTGTAGTACGGACAGAAGGCCTACGGCCTATGTTATTCCTTTTCTAGTATGCTTCTGTGAATGTCCAGTCTTCTCTTAAAAGAGTCAATTGAAGGTGCGGACACCACTGCTTCAGGCAGCAGGTTCCAAGTATTGATGACTCGGTGTGAAAACCTGTATGCCACGGGTATTTTGTTCGCTCTTGGCTTTTCTACTCGCCTGCTATGTCCTCTGAGGTGTCCCGATCTAGTGGGAAGAAAGAGAGAGAATAAGTTAGGTCCGAAATCATTTATCAGTATTCTGTACATCAAAATTAGATCTCTCTTTAGTCTGCGATAGGACAGAGTAAAGAGGTTCAGTTTTTCAAGCCGCTCTTTATATGATAAACCCCGGAGTTCCGGAATTGCACGCGTAGCTGCCCTCTGTACTTTTTCTAGTATGTCTGAGTCACCTTTGAAACAGGGGCTTGCAGCCTGAACACAGCTCTCTAACTTAGTTCTCACTAAGGATGTGTATACTGTGGTGAATATGGTAGTATCTAACTTAGTGAATGTCCTTTTTAAAGCCCAGAGGGTTCGAAACCCCTTAACTGTCACCTCCCGGCAATGGGCCGTCGTCTTAAGATCATTATTCACTATCACCACCAGGATCCTCATGAGACCGGACTACATCGAAACGTCCCGCTTATAAGCACTGGGTTTCTTCAGGTTCCTTACAACTTATTGAAGCCCGTCGGTCTACTCCGGGTGACCGTGAGTTTGAACATAAACGAAGGATGTTACGTAAGGAAATCGGGCAAAGCTTGCGTAAGGACCGAGAAGCCTGGTAGTCGAAGCGTGCTAATGAGCTGAAAACAGCAGCTACTTCTGGTAACTACCGGAAGCTCTTCCAACTCATCCGAGTCACTGGCAGCAAGAAGTCCGGTGTGAGTGAAACAATCTGCGAGGATGATGGGATGCCAATCACTAACATCCATCGACGTCTTGGACGTCGAGGCAGAATTTTTCGAAGGGCAGTTCAACTGGCCTGCTGCTCCGGCAACATCGGTCAGACTGTCCTGCCCTCCATGGCCGGTGACGACTGATCCACCAAACGAGGAGGAAGTCCGCAAGGAACTCCAACTCTTGAAGCGTCACAAATCACCTGGCCCAGATGACCTACCTCCGGCTCTTTTTAAAGATGGTGGTGACTTTCTGACTAAGGAATTGACGACGTTGTTTACAAAGGTCTGGGAACTAGAGAGTGTACCAACGTCATGGAATGAGTCGATAGTTGTCCCTATCTTTAAAAAGGGTTCACGTCATTCCTATAACAACTATCGGGGGATAAGTCTACTTCTGATTGCGTCCAAACTTTTGGCTTCCGTCATGCTGCGTAGACTGTTCAAAACCCGAGAAAGATTGACTCGCGAGGAGCAGGCTGAGTTTCGTTCTGGTCGAGGATGTATTGATCATATCTTCACCCTCCGCCAAATGTTAGAACACCGCCATACTTATTAAAGGCCAACAATCGTAGTGTTGCTTGACATCAGGGCTGCCTTCGATTCGTTGGATAGGACTGTTCTCTGGGATTGTCTATTGAAGAAGGGTGTGCCTGAGAAGTTTATTAACATCATAAAAGCCCTATATACAAATACCTCAGGCAGAGTGAGGGCATACAACCACCTCTCTCCATTGTTCCATTCGAGTAGTGGGGTTAGGCAGAGTTGCCCAATCTCACCATTCCTCTTCAACTTTGCCATCGATGACATTCTGGAAACAGCTCTGATAAATGTAAGTAATGGTGGTGTGGATCTGTTGCCTGGAGAAAGACTTCTCGACCTTGAGTATGCGGACGATATTGTCTTACTGTGCGACAATGCCCAAGGCATGCAATCCGCACTTAATCAGTTGGCAATCAGTATCCATAGGTATGGTATGTGCTTTGCACCTTCGAAGTGCAAAGTACTTCTACAAGACTGGCAGGATTTCAATCCTGTACTCACCCTGGATGGTGAGCAGATAGTAGTCGAGAAGTTCGTGTATCTAGGTAGCTGCATAAGTGCTGGTGGTGGCGTAAGTGATGAGATCAATGCACGTATAGTGAAAGCCAGAGACGCTTATGCCAATCCGGGCCATCTTTCGAGCCTTCGTGATGTTAGTCTGGATGTAAAAGGTCGGATCTACAACGCGTCGGTGAGAGCAGTTTTGCTCTATGCTTGTGAAACCTGGTCTCTCCGAGTTGAGGACGTTAGACGACTCCGTGTTCGATCATCGCTGTCTCCGAAGGATTGCTGACATTCAGTGGCAACACCATGTCAGTAATGCAGAGGTTCAGCATCGTGTGTTCGGGTACAGAGATGATAATGCAATCGATGTCACCATCTTGAAACACCGACTTCGATGGCTTGGACATGTTCTACGAATGTCGTCCCAGAGAATTCCACGTCGTGCATTATTTGCCGACTCTGGGACTGGTTGGAAGAAGCGGAGAGGTGGTCAGTGCATGACATGGTGTTGTGGCATGAAAGAAACCAGCAAAGGGCTGGCTTCTGTTGGTCCTTTACGACTCCCTGGTTGGGGTCTGAGAGATGGTGCTACACAGTGGCTAGAGACGTTATGAGATATGGCTCAGATTAGAAGCCAGTGGCGATCCTGCTGTAACCTTCTTTTAATTTCTTCATAAAAAGTGGTTGTGTCTCCCTTACCTGAAAGATTTCTTCTGATTGTACCTTTCCGTTCCCTCATTTCTACCATACTACCTTACACCAATCTCTTCGTTATTGTTCTCTTTTTTTGCGCTCCTTAGCTTTTTTTTCTATTTCTCTTCGAATTCTCATTGTTTTGTGTGGCGCATATATATTGGCGCTCTCTTGTACCAATATTCATGTGTTCAAATAAATAAATAAATACTACTCGCCAAATTTTTACATCGTCAGCGTATAATAACATTGGAGACTGTACTATACTTGTAAAATCATTAACGTACATTATAAAAATTAAAGGACCTAGGACGGAACCTTGGGGTACTCCACTATGTACTGGTCTCCAGATGGAGCACTTGGAATTTATTCTTACTTTTTGCCTACGACCTACTAGGAAATCCTTAATCCATTTTAAAAGAGGTCCGGCGATACCAAGGTTTGCCAACTTCAATAGCAGTCTATTAGTTGGCACCCTGTCAAAAGCCTTACTGAAGTCTATGTAGACAGCATCCACTGAGTTTCCGTTGTCTAGCGCATTATGCCAGAACTCCCTAGCTACAAGGAGGTTCGTTGTACAGGATAGACCCTTTCTAAAACCATGTTGTGCCATGTTCAGCAAGTTATTGGTTCCGATAAATGCCGTTATGGTCCGTTTGATTATTCTTTCCAGTATTTTAATTACAACACTGGTGAGGCTTACGGGTCTGTAATTCGATGGAACTTGTCGTGGACCTGTTTTAGGTATGGGAGTGACGATTGCGTCCTTCCAATCCATAGGTAACACACCTTGGTCAAGTGACATTTTGAATATCACAGTCAGTGGGGCTGCGATATATTGGGCAATATGTCTCAAGATTTTAGGGCGTAGTTCATCTGGTCCTGTTGACTTCTCCATGTTTAGGGTGCTAAGAGCCTTAAGCACATCGTTTTGGTCGAAGTCCACGGTGAGCAGCTGGTTTGTTGACTCTGTATTTGAGTCTGGTTCTTTCTCTAAAGAAGGTTCCTGAGTGAAAACTGCCCCAAAATAGTCAGCCGTAACCTCTGCTTTTTCCTGATCTTCCTCTATCATTTCAGATTCACTTTCTACTTTAATTAGGTTAGGAATCCAATGATGCATCCTTGTTCTATAGTTTATGTACGAGAATATCCTCTTGGGCTGCTTGAGTGCAGATTGTGCCAGCTGCATTTCATATTTTCTTTGAGCTTCTCGAATTTTCATTATACACTCGTTTCTTATCGATCTGTAGCGTTCCATCGTACCTGCTGTGCCAAGGCGGATGGCAACATCCCAGCATTTCTTCTTTTGTCTTAGTAAGCGTCGAATATCCCGCCCTATCCAGGGATGTCCGTGCTTCTTTTTCGTTGGGACAGTCCAGGGTATGTATGGTTGAGTTACCCGATTGTATAACTGCCTGAATAGAGTCCATGCTTCTTGTACTGATGCCTTTGAGTCAATTTCTCAGCCGATGCTGCAGAGTTAATTGCCTGCATATCCGCCTTCCATATGTTGGGACGGGCCGGTGCAACTGTTTGCCAGCCAATCTCAGCCATGAATTTGAATAAGATGACTGTATGGTCACTTCTCCCAAGTGGTGGGAGAAAAGCCATTTGATCAACATCATCACCATGTGTGAAAACTAAATCTAAACGAGAGGAAGAGTTTCTTAAGTCGTATCTTGTGGGATCTCTAATGTGTTGGAATTATGCTAATCCAATCGAGGTTTCTAACAGTTTGCAGTCGAACGACGATATGGATGACCCTACTTCTAAGTTAACCCAGTTTATATGTGGTGCATTAAAGTCGCCTACTACAAGACTTTTACCGTTGTTACACCAGGACTTAAGTTTACTTAGGATAAAATCATCTGCTACACATTCTGGACTGCGATAAACTACAACTACTTCAATATCTTGCCTTCGGCATTTCAACTTACATCTCACCAGTTCACACGTCCCTGAAACATGTGCTACTGTCTCAGCTAATCTTATGGTTAGGGTACTTTTCGTGTACAGAATAACCCCGCCTCCCCTTCGGTTTAATCTATCAGCCCTACTGGTCTTTTGCACACTTATTATTAAGTATATGTGCCCAATAAATAACACACAACCTGTTCTTTCTTTTGTAGATCTTTTCAAATTATAATGACTTGGCAATTATAATAAAAATACACAACGATTGACGCTCTAGCATCTGTTGACTATTCATAATGTTGTACAATTGGGCATTTTTTCTTTCCAATAAATTTCTCTCAACATGTACCATTTTTGATGTCGATTGCAGTTGTCGTGTGGTTCGTTATGGAAATGAAAGCAAACACAGAACTTTGGGGTCAGGCCAAACGTGTGTTAAAAATTGAAGCGGAATTAGATAAATCTGCGTGTATTTAACCGAAAGGTAGACAACTCGGTGTGTATTTAGGCGAAGATTGGACAATCCAGCGACATCCAAGACGCAGAGCGGCATAAAGGGGTAAATCCGCATTGTTTCCCGCTGACAGGTGAAAAAGTAGACTTTTAAGCGCGTTCCGTTATTATCTCCCCTTTTTTGATTGATTGGGGCATACCTACGGAAACGCTATGCAGCTCGAAGTGGATATATTCTCCATAAAACGAAGAAATCCGAAAAACAAGCTATAACGACAATATTAGAGACTACCTTGTTCATAAAAACTAACCATAACATCAATAGAAAAAACATACCAACCCGACACTTTTATTTTCGCTAACCGCTTACCACCAATGTTTGTGACGGGAACACGAACAAACAATGGTGTCGCCATGCGATGAAACATTACGAAGATTCTTTCAACCGCTTGAACAAAAGTTTTCGTCTATTTCAATTTATTTCAAACATCCATATCGCTTATTCAAACACCAAATAAAACGGTTGATGGTCTTCAGTGCATGATATTTTTCTAAAACATTATCCACTCAGCTTCTGTAAATCAAGCAGTTAAATATTATCTAATATAATTTAACTGTAGTCATTACAGTTAAGGTGTGTTATGTTTTTGTCATGTTGCATAGGTATTTTGCGTTTTACTGCCTTCCGTGTAACTTTACAATTATTTTTCTAAAGACGCTCTGAATCAATCACATTTGCCTTAGAATGAACTGTTATTTCGAAGTCCGAGACGGCATTCAGCGTAATTATTGGAACAAGCGGTACTTCGAAACATTCGGTGAACCAAACCCTGCTGCTCTTACAGTGTTGAAAGACACTGCAACTATTGATGTGCAAAGTATGCTGTTTAATAAAACTGTGTAAAATAGTCTGTATAGATACTGAAATCTCAACAAGAGCTCCTTCTTAACAAATGTGGTGTCCCAGAAAACAATCATTTCAAGTGTAAAAGATGTCATGATCGCTGTACATTGATTAATCTTAGAAGTCTGGCAACACCATAAATGATGTCATCTATTGTTAGTCATCGGGAACTTAAAAAAACACAAGGGACTCTGGAGGCCGTTAAGATGGCGCGAGCAATCAAGCAGATATTCACAAGTCCTACTATGGCGAACAAAAACAGTAGACATTTATCAAAAACAAACGATTACTCTATGAAAATGGACCTTTTTGATAGATGGTTGGTTTGGGATAACACTAATTAAAGCGCTCGTGCGCGAGACTGGTAGATCCTGGGTTCAAATCTCGCGAGGCGGGATCGTGGATGAGTAGTACTGAGGAGTCTAACAGTAGGACGAAGCAGCCGTCTGGTACTTTCGGGTTTACCATGGTGGTCTAGCTTCAACTGACTCGTGATCTGAACTATTAAAAAAATAATTAAATTAACTTTAAAATGTTTTGAACTAATAGTCCTAATTTAACGGAGATAAACTAGTAGATAGAATTGACTAAATTTTCACACTCTTTCAAAACTAAATCATGCAGTGACTAAGTTATCTCGCGCACCCGAACCCTATGGTCTATCTGTAATTATACTTTCACCTTGAGTCTTAGTTAATAAGGAAGTAGGTCGGTTGACCTGTACCATTCAGTTAAGTGTAATTTCCAGTGGACATCCAGTTTCTCCTCAAAAGCGTTCCCTGGTGAGTTTGATACTACCTGTTTAAAAAGTGCCTTCCAGTTGTTTACCACTCGATGAGAAAAATGGAGTCCCTCTTTGAGTTTATTCAATGATTGTTTTTAGCTGGTTTCTGATCTACACATACACTCTGTTTTTTACCACTGAGGAAGTTCCCCACCCAGTTTTGCGTAGTTCTTGAAATTCTACGATTGAAAGGCTGCTTCATTAGCTCCAGGCGAGATACTGTTGTGTTTGTATGAACTGACGATTCCTTTTGTAGTCGATTGTGCGCTTATTACGAATTCCACTTATAATTCGCTCATTTGGGATCACTCAGCCCAACCTGACTCAAATTGCACTATTTCGGGAATGATTCGAATACTTCCAACCATCACATGCTCCCAGTAGACTTTTTGAAATGGGTTAATTACCACAAACAACTTGTTTCATCCTCAACGTCCAACTAAGCTCTCAGAAGCTGATGTGAAACATTCGGAGCACTTTTTCACTGAGCGTAAGGGATTAAACTTTCCACGGGATCTTTACATTAATAGGATAGATTAACGCATATCACTCTTAAGAAAATCAGAACAAACCAGAGTCCGTGGCCAGCTACCGTATGAGTTTTTAACTGATGAGCCCCTTCTTCACAAAGAACTAGCTCCAGCATCAGTGTCACACAATAAATTGCTGATTTTTTACGTAGATATATACGGAGCTCTGAACTATTTAAATTTTTTACAACCGACAAATTCAATAGAACTAAACTAACTTAAAACTCTTTTCCTCATGCAATCTATGACTCACATAACTTTTCTCGTTCACCATACTATTTAGAAGATCACTTAGACATCGTGTTTTGCCGGTGGAATGAAGAGATAACAAGTCATTCCTGACTGCAAAAATGGGCAGAAATAGAATCATTAAACTTATGTGCTAATTAGCATGACAGGTGTGCTCGCAGAAATCAGTTGAGAAACCACGATATGAATCATCTTGATCTCCCTGAAAACGACGAACAGCACAACAGTACTGTACGTCAACTGTTCTAAGGCTTGGGGAGAGTTGAATAGAGCCCTTGAATAATAGGCAGTTGGTAAACAAATTGTACGTTAACCACAGCAAATCATCCGACAATGAGGCTCAAGGAAGCTAGAAAACTAAGTAATCAGCAGATATTCGTTCTGGCACATTGAAAGTTTGCAGAAAGTACAAATCAACTCTAAAATTTCCTCCTGAAACCTGCATTTAGTGAAGTACGTTAGGTATTACTAGTAAGTCCATCATTGCTCACTTTTCATGTCTGTAGGCTTATGAAGGACCACTAAAAATATGGAAATATCTCAACTCATTTAAAACTATAGAACGCTTATAAAAAGTCAGGTAATAAAACAAAAACAAACATCTCCAAAATATGAAGTCACATGTTATTTTCAAGAGGTTGTGTGTTCGTAACTCCAAATATATACAATAATGATAGTATAGAAAAAATAATTGCAACGAACGTCAAACATAGACTACAAATGTTCGCATGTAATTGACAAGGAATATGCTGGGTAACATGAGCTGAAATGTGTACAACATAGATGTTAGTCAGTAGTCAGAAAATGGTACTCAACAAAATTAAGACGAGTTGTGTATGTTTACACGTGCATTTAGTTAACACCAGTCATTACATTAAGCGCATTACGAACAGGAATGATATAAGTCAATTTAAACAAAATTTCTTAGCTTATATATCGCCTGTGTACATTGAATGGCATAAAAATTAAAACCAATGATGAAAACTGTCTACAAATGAGGTTTATTTTAACCATCCTCTAAAAACTCCTAAACATAACCAAAACTTCCGTTCATATCTGGAGCATTACCAATGAAGATGTGAAGGGTGATAAAATTGTGGCTCATCTCCATACATTCATCGGAAAAGAAACCTACGGTTCATTAAAAACTTTGGCATTTCCAGAAAAGTTGATATCAATTCCTTTTGCAACTCTTAAGAAACCTTTTATTAAATCATGCAGAGTGAACCAGTCTTGAATGTCATGAGAGAGTGAAATTTTATATAACGATTCATCAAAATTACCAGAAGGTTGGGGAATGCATCTTCGAATCGCAAAGACTAGCTGCCAAATGCAAGTTTGGTGGTCAACTTCATGTGCAGCTGAATTAGCATACTAGGTTTAGAAAGAGAGATGTTAAGAATGCTAGAACTGGCGTGTATCGACTACGAAGCAGTGAATAAACTTGATATCCAGTCGATTAAAAATTCTAATAATTTGCTCGGTCGTCATGATGAAATACAATCTCAGTGTCAATCAAACTTGCATTTGTTCAATAGTGATTCCTTTTTTACTTACTTACTTACGCCTGCTGCTCCGATTGAAGCATAGGTCGCCGACCAGCAGTCTCCAACCCACTATGTCCTGGGTCTTCCTTTCCAGGTCTATCCAATTTTTGCTCACTCTACTCATGTCTGTCTCCATTTTTCAACGTAATGTGTTCTTTGTCTTCCTCTCCTCCTTTGGCCTTGAGTATTCCATGTGAGGGCTTGCCTTGTGGCATAGTTGGATGCTTTCCTCAATGTGTGTCCTATCCACTTCCAACGCGTCTTCCTGATTTCTTCCTCCGCTGGGATCTGGTTTGTTCTCTTTCACAGTAGGTTGTTGCTGATAATGTCTAGCCAACGGATCCAAAGTACTTCGCGTAGACATCTGCTAATGAACACTTGTATCTTCTGGATGATGGCTTTCGTAGTTCTTCAAGTTTCCTTCCCTTACTGTTGAACTGTCTTGACATTTGTATTGAAAATTCTGACCTTGGGTTTGGTCAACAGACAGTTGATTTAAGTTCCAGATGTTCTTCAGTTGTAAATATGCTGCACTTGTTTCGCCTATCCTCACCCACACATCTGCATCAGATCCACCGTGTTAATCAATGATGCTGCACAAATATGTAAAGGTTTTTACATCTTCCAAATTTTCTCCGTCATTTGTGACTGCATTGGTGCATGCTGTGTTGTATCGGAGAATTTTGCTTATGCCTTTGTGTATACTGAGACCTACTGCTGAGGCTGCTGGTGCATTGGTCGTCTTCTCCTGCATTTGTTGTTGCGTTTGCTATAGGAGGGCCGGATCATCTGCGAAGTCTAGATCGTCCAACTGCATCCTAGATGTCCACTGTGTCCCGTGTTTCCCTTCAGATGTTGACGTCTTCATGATCCAGTCAATCACCAGGAGAAAGAGAAAGGATGGGAGTATGCAATCTTGCCTGACACCGGTCTTTACCTCGAACGAGTCTGTCAATTGTCCTCCATGCACAATTTTGCAGTCTAATCCATCATAGGAATTCTGTATGATATTGACGATCTTTTCAGGTACGCCGTAGTGTCGAAGAAGCTTCCATAGTGTTGTCCTGCTCACGCGTAGTGATTCATATTCCTGTGAGAATATGAAAGGTGATTCAACGATGAATCTCAAAGCAAGCCACAATGATGAGAGCTGGTTTGATGAATGTTTATCCTGTGGCAAGTTTCACTCCCGTTATTCATGTGCATTTCGTAATTCCAAATATTTTAAGTATAGTAGGATAAGACACATTCAGTCAGTATACAAAAACATTGTTCATTTTGTTTCAAGCAGTACTAAACCTTGTAACTTAGATCCTATTAAATTGTTTATTTCCTTATGATCCTTTATCTTTATCTACCATTTCGAAAGGTAATGTTCATACTCAAAAGCTATTATATACATCCTTTGGTTCATTTCATGAATTTATTGTGGACACAGTCAGTAAAGAGTTCATAATTTCATTCAACAGTTTGAAATCTTTAGGTCCTAACGTTA